GGCCCAAAACTTTCAGACGAGGACAAACATGGACCTGTTGATGTTCTTGGTATATGTTCTAAAACGTTGATGTTTTGGGGTATCCATGAACCAAGATGTTTGTTGTGTAGAGTGAAGAAATAGGCATGTGCTGTAGGCTATATGATTAACATGTTACACTTTATTAATAGATTCAGCTCGTTTCAAGACTTTTCAACAAAGAAGTCGTATGTGTCATTGCTATCATACATACAGTAAACAAACCATGAATAAACTGAGGCAAATTGAAAAATGTGGCAAATTGAATAATATTACAAAGTATTGTTATGTTTCATATTTCTATAAAAAATATATGATATATTTTCATGTAAGCTTATAAGATAAGTACTGTTATAAAAAACACCAAGTAGGCAAACAGAGGCAAAGTGCTGCATAGCCTCTTGATTTCCTTGAAAGAACATTCAGTATACAGTATATCAATCATCTTACACTAGCGGGTAATTTAATGGCAACAGAAAAGTCAAACCAAGATTTCAGAAGTTAATCAGTGTTAATCTTCCAAATGTCAGAATCATTATCTTAGATCTTCTCTGTCAAACATTTTCTTCAGACTACTCCTTGAATTCCAATCCCTTTTCTTGGCAAACTTGTAGACGCATCCAAAGAGATCGGGAAACATTTTCATCATGTCAACACAATCTGCATCCTCAGTGCTTCAGAGAGAGAGAAAGACAAAATATGAAACCACCTTCAATGGTAAGAAAGTTAATAAAGTTAATGTAATTTTTTTTTACAAAACTATGAATATGTCTTACTAGTGCTCATGGAGGTTGCGTATGAAGCGCAACAAACCCAATGTGTTGTCAGGGTAGGCCTTCTTTTTACCATCCAGCTTCTCCATCAACTCAGGCGGTATCTGTGTACACAAATAAATAACAGTAAGTGTTAGTACTACAAGACACTCCACTAGGTTTAATGTAAAGTAAAATTAATAAAATGGCGTCTTGCTCACCTTGGACTTCCACTTTGTGAAGGACCTCCCCTCAGCACACTGGTCCAAAGCATGAAGGAGTTCTGGCTCTGCTTTACGACAGTTCTCTGCTTCCTTCTCGTTACCAATTTTTCGCAAGTACTCCACTCTCCTGAAAAACAACAGTGTACCTTTAAATGCATTCAACCGGGTCAGTGTCAAACAGCGATCACATCGCCATTGGGATAAATCGTCGTTAGAATTGAGCATTGCAACCCATTTGTCACGGTTTCGGCCGAGGCTGCGCCTCCTCCTTGTTCGGGCAGGCTTCGGCGGTCGTCGTCCCCGGAGTACTAGCTGCCACCGTTCGATGTTTCATGTTTGTTTGGTTTTGTCTGTTTGTACACCTGTCCCTTGTTAGTGTTTGATTTTGTTTCCTATTTAGTTATCGTGTGTTGGGTCAGGTGTTATGTGTGATTATTATTGTCAGCTGTTGCCATTGTTGGGTTTTCTCTCTCGTGTTGTTTGTATTCGAGAGTCCGCACTGCGTGCGCCTTTTCTTGTTTTTGCGCACTGTTGGTTGTGTGCGTAATTTGTTCATGCCTCCCGGTCGGGTTGGCTATTTCACCTGTGTGGAGTTACTATTTTTGGATTACTAAAGTCTGTTGACGAACACCCTTGTTCCTGCGCTTGATTCCCTGCACCACATCCACACTCAGCGTTCTGACAGAATCACACATCACACTATGGAATCAGCAGGAGCAACCGCGCCAACGGACATTATGGAGGACCGTCTTCGTGGGCAGGAGGACAGGATCAACCAGATCGGTCACGCCCTGGATCGGGTGATGAACACTCTCCACCGATGGGAGAGCAGCGGGGTACCCACGCCCCCACCTACCGGACCATCCCCATCGGTCAGTCCTCCTGTCTCCCTTCCGGAACCCAGCGGGATTCGGCTCTCGCTCCCGAGGGCGTACGACGGCTCCGCTGCCGGGTGTCAAGGGTTCCTGCTGCAAGTGGAGCTCTACCTCGCCACCGTACACCCGGCGCCCTCGGGACACGAGAGCGTCTCCGCCCTCATCTCCTGTCTCACCGGCAAGGCGTTGGAGTGGGCCAACGCCGAATGGAGGAGAATAGACGCCGCTACTATTACCTATGCGGAGTTCTCCCGCCGCTTCCGTGCCGTGTTTGACCATCCACCAGAAGGGAAGGCGGCGGGGGAGCGTCTGTTCTACCTCCGACAGGGGATGAGGAGCGCACAGGATTTTGCTTTGGAGTTCCGGACTCTAGCGGCAGATGCAGGGTGGAATGAGCGGGCCCTCATAGACCACTTCCGCTGCAGCCTCCGGGAGGACGTCCAGAGAGAGTTGGCGTGCAGGGATACCACGTTGTCGTTTGACCAACTGGTCGACATGGCCATTCGGCTGGACACCCTGCTCGCCACCCGTGGACGTCCCGGGTGGGGGTTGCCCATTCCACCTTCCGGCACCTCCGAGCCGAGCCCTATGGAGCTCGGAGGTGCTGGCGCTAGAGAACGGAGGAGTAGGAACCCGAGGGGGGCCGTTCCCTGCACCAACTGTGGCCGTGGAGGGCACACCGCGGCTAGGTGTTGGGGAAGGTCCCCCGGTGGAGGTGAAGGCAGGCCACGCATTGGGGAGTCCTCCCAGGTGAGTAGGCGCCCTACTTACCCAGAGCTTTCTGTCGTTCACATAACCTTGCCTGTTTGTTTCCCACAGGTTGCACCTCGTTCCCAGCATAAGGCGCTCGTAGATTCAGGCGCAGCTGGGAATTTTGTAGATCGCCAGTTCTGTGTAGAGTTAGGGATTCCTCTCCTTCCCGTTGATAAGCCTTTCCCGGTACATGCCCTAGATAGCCGTCCGTTAGGATCTGGGTTGATTAGGGAGGTCACAGCGCCCCTTAGGATGAAGACGCAGGGGGGTCATGAGGAGACGATTCAGCTCTATCTGATTGACTCTCCTGCGTATCCGGTGGTGCTGGGACTTCCCTGGTTAGTTACCCATGATCCTACTATTTCGTGGCGAGAGAAAGCTCTTAAAGGGTGGTCTGTTCAGTGTGAGGGGCTATGTCTGGGTGTTTCCATAGGGGCGACCTCGGTGGAGAGTCCAAATCAAATGCCCGCACTGCATATTCCCCCCGAGTATGAGGATTTGACACTGGTGTTTAGTAAGACAAGGGCGGCGCAGCTGCCGCCTCATAGACAGGGGGATTGTGCGATAGATCTCCAGTTAGGAGCAGCACTCCCGCGGAGCCATGTGTATCCCTTGTCTCAAGAGGAGAGGAAAGCGATGGAAACTTACATCGCCGAGTCTCTGAGACAGGGATACATACGGGCCTCCACTTCACCCGCTTCCTCGAGCTTCTTTTTTGTGAAGAAAAAAGATGGAGGTTTGCGCCCGTGTATTGATTACCGCGGTCTCAATCAGATTACGGTGAAGTACAGTTATCCACTTCCTCTGATTGCGACTATGACAGAGTCATTACACGGTGCTCAGTTCTTCACAAAATTGGATCTCAGGAGCGCATATAACTTGGTGCGCATTAGAGAGGGCGATGAATAGAAGACAGCATTTAGCACGACCTCCGGTCATTACGAGTATCTCGTCATGCCATATGGGTTAATGAATGCTCCCTCAGTCTTCCAATCCTTTGTAGATGAGATTTTCCGGGACATGCAGGGGCAGGGAGTAGTCGTGTACATAGACGATATTCTGGTGTACAGTTCTACCCGAGCTGAGCATGTAGCCCTGGTGCGCCGAGTGTTGAGGAGACTGTTGGAGCATGACCTATATGTCAAGGCAGAGAAATGCCTGTTCTTTCAGAAGTCGGTCTCCTTTTTGGGTTATCAGTTGTCTGCGTCAGGGGTGAAGATGGAGGTTGACCGGGTGTCAGCTGTGCGTAATTGGCAAACCCCAACCACTGTGAAAGAGGTGCAACAGTTCTTGGGTTTTGCGAATTATTACCGGAGGTTTATCCGGGGTTTTGGACAGGTGGCAGCTCCCATAACGTCTCTGTTGAAGGGGGGTCCGGTGCGCTTGCGGTGGTCAGCTGAGGCGGACAGGGCTTTTGGCAGACTGAAGGACCTGTTTACCTCGGCGCCGGTGTTGGCGCATCCGGATCCCGCTTTACCATTCCAGGTAGAGGTAGACGCGTCCGAGGCCGGTATTGGGGCCGTCCTCTCACAACGGTCTGGCACACCACCTAAGCTCCGCCCCTGTGCCTTTTATTCTAAGAAGCTCAGTCCGGCGGAGCGGAATTATGACGTAGGGGACAGGGAGCTGTTAGCCGTGGTACAGGCCCTAAAGGTGTGGAGGCATTGGCTTGAGGGGGCTCAACACCCTTTCCTCATTTTGACGGACCACCGTAACCTGGAGTACATCCGGGCAGCTAGGAGACTGAATCCTCGCCAGGCCCGCTGGACTATGTTTCTAGCCCGGTTTGTGTTTAAAATCACTTACATCCCTGGGTCCCAGAACGGGAAGGCAGATGCCCTGTCTCGGCGGTATGACACGGAGGAGAGGTCCGTTGAGCCCACTCCCATACTACCAAAGTCTTGTCTGGTGGCACCGGTGGTATGGGAGGTCGATGCAGAGATCGAGCGGGCGTTACGCACCGACCCAAGTCCTCCACAGTGTCCAGTGGGTCGGACGTACGTTCCGCTCGAGGTACGCGATCGCCTCATTTATTGGGCTCATACGTCCCCCTCCTCTGGACATCCAGGTATCGGCCGGACAGTTCACTGCCTTAGCACTAAGTACTGGTGGCCAACGTTAGCCAGGGATGTGAGGGTTTATGTCTCCTCCTGTTCGGTGTGTGCACAGTGTAAGGCGCCCAGACATTTGCCCAGGGGTAAGCTACAACCCCTGCCCGTTCCACAACGACCCTGGTCCCACCTCTCGGTGGACTTTGTTACAGACCTTCCCCCCTCACAGGGGAATACTACCATCCTGGTCGTTGTGGATCGGTTCTCGAAGGCCTGTCGTCTCCTTCCCATGCCGGGTCTCCCTACTGCCCTACAGACCGCTGAGGCTCTGTTTACCCATGTCTTCCGGCATTACGGGGTACCCGAGGATATAGTGTCTGATCGAGGCCCCCAGTTCACCTCCAGAGTGTGGAGAGCCTTTATGGAACGGTTGGGGGTTTCGGTGAGCCTTACCTCGGGTTACCACCCGGAGAGTAATGGGCAGGTTGAACGTGTCAACCAGGATGTGGGTAGGTTTCTGAGGTCTTATTGCCAGGGCCGGCCGGAGGAGTGGGCGAGATACGTTCCGTGGGCCGAGATGGCGCAGAACTCTCTCCGCCACTCCTCCACCCAACTAACCCCTTTCCAGTGTGTGTTAGGGTACCAGCCGGTTCTGGCACCTTGGCACGAGAGCCAGATCGAGGCCCCTGCGGTGGATGAGTGGGTGCGGCGCTCGGAGGAGACATGGAACGCTGCCCACGTCCATCTGCAGCGGGCCATCCGTCGGCATAAGACGAGCGCCGATCTCCACCACAGTGAGGGGCCTGTATACGCACCTGGAGATCGAGTCTGGCTCTCGACCAGAAACCTGCCCCTCCGCCTGCCCTGCCGGAAGCTGGGTCGGCGGTTTGTGGGGCCATTCAAAGTCCTGAGGAGGTTGAACAAGGTGTGTTACAGGTTAGAATTGCCTATTGATTACAGGAATATTAACCCCTCGTTCCATGTGTCTCTCCTCAGGCCGGTGGTAGCTGGTCCACTCCAGGATTATGAGATAGAGGAGATTCCTCCGCCCCCGTTGGACATCGAGGGGGCTCCGGCGTACACTGTGAGGTCCATCCTTGATTCGAGACGCCGGATGGGGGGTCTCCAATATCTCGTGGAGTGGGAGGGGTACGGCCCGGAGGAGCGGTGCTGGGTGCCGAGGAGGGACATATTAGACCTGTCCCTGCTGACCGAGTTCCATCGGGGTCATCCTACGCGCCCTGCTCCGCGTCGTCCTGGTCGTCCCCGAGGCCGGGATCGGCGCACGGCTGGAGCCGCGCGTCAAGGGGGGGGTACTGTCACGGTTTCGGCCGAGGCTGCGCCTCCTCCTTGTTCGGGCAGGCTTCGGCGGTCGTCGTCCCCGGAGTACTAGCTGCCACCGTTCGATGTTTCATGTTTGTTTGGTTTTGTCTGTTTGTACACCTGTCCCTTGTTAGTGTTTGATTTTGTTTCCTATTTAGTTATCGTGTGTTGGGTCAGGTGTTATGTGTGATTATTATTGTCAGCTGTTGCCATTGTTGGGTTTTCTCTCTCGTGTTGTTTGTATTCGAGAGTCCGCACTGCGTGCGCCTTTTCTTGTTTTTGCGCACTGTTGGTTGTGTGCGTAATTTGTTCATGCCTCCCGGTCGGGTTGGCTATTTCACCTGTGTGGAGTTACTATTTTTGGATTACTAAAGTCTGTTGACGAACACCCTTGTTCCTGCGCTTGATTCCCTGCACCACATCCACACTCAGCGTTCTGACACCATTTGACAATGTCACGCTTTGTCCTCATTGCCCTGGGACCAAACCAACGTTTCTGAACTTCAGTGGTTAAAACCTGAACTCATTCAAAAAGGTAAATGTCCATTGGAAAAAGTGATGGCTATATGTAAATCACTCATCTTAACTAACCTTCTGACAAGTGTTAGGGGTGTTTCTCACCTCTCCTCTGGCCAGAAGTATGGGTGGGCCAGCGTGTCCCCCACTTTAGGTCTCTTCGCTGGGTCTTTATTGATCATCCACTCAATGAGGTCCTTGGCCACCTCATCATCAACATGCTCCAGTGTGTACTTCCCTTGAAAAATGTTCATTTCACAATGGATGCCTTTGCCAAATGGATGATGTCCACCAGAGATGATGTAATACATTAACATCCCAGCCACCTGAAAAGTATAGTATGCATTCAATCAATTTGACGAACAGGTCCAGTAATCAAAATATGGAGACGTATTTAAAATTCAAAACTAACCTGAATGTCGGTGCTCCTCTTATACCCGATACCACTGTCTTCATCTAAAGTTTCGCTGGCCTTCCAACATTTTGTTCCTGCACTGCTTGTGTGTAGAGTTGTTTGTTCCACGTTTAATTGTCGACTTATACCAAAATCGGCTAATCTCGCTCTGCCTGTAACATCTGGAGAGAAGATTATATAAAGCATACCATTGAAACATAGGTTAAAAAATGACACATCACATGTACACTACCGTTCAAAAGTTTGGGGTCACTTAGAAATGTCCTTGTTTTCGAAAGAAAATAAAAAAAAATGTCCATTAAAATAACATCAAATTAATCAGAAATACAGTGTAGACATTGTTAATGTTGTAAATGGCTATTGTAGCTGGAAACGGCTGATTTTTTATGGAATATCTACATAGGCGTACAGAGGCCCATTATCAGAAACCATCAGTCCTGTGTTCCAATGGCATGTTGTGTTTGCTAATCCAAGTTTATCATTTTAAAAGGCTAATTGATCATTAGAAAACCCTTTTGCAATTATGTTAGCACAGCTGAAAACTGTTGTGCTGATTAAAGAAGCAATAAAACTGGCCTTCTTGAGACTAGTTGAGTACCTGGAGCATCAGCAACTGTGGGTTTGATTACAGGCTCAAAATGGCCAGAAACAAATAACTTTCTTCTGAAACTCGTCAGTCTATTCTTGTTCTGAGAAATGAAGGCTATTCCATGCAAGAAATTGCCAAGAAACTGAAGATCTCGTACAACGCTGTGTACTACTCCCTTCACAGAACAGCACAAACTGGTTCTAACCAGAATAGAAAGAGGAGTGGGAGGCCCCGGTGCACAACTGAGCAAGAGGACAAATACATTAGTGTCTAGTTTGAGAAACAGACGCCTCACAGGTCTTCAACTGGCAGCTTCATTAAATAGTACCTGCAAAACACCAGTCTCAACGTCAACAGTGAAGAGGCGACTCCGGGATGGTGACCTAGGCAGAGTTGCAAAGAAAAAGCCATATCTCAGACTGCCCATCTTAATCTTTTCTTTTTATTGGCCAGTCTGAGATGTTTTTTTCTTTTATTGGCACTTTCTCGCATGGAATATCCTTCATTTCTCAGAACAAGAATAGACTCACGAGTTTCAGAAGAAAGTTATTTGTTTCTGGCCATTTTGAGCCTGTATTCGAACCCACAATTGCTGATGCTCCAGATACTCAACTAGTCTCAAGAAGGCCAGTTTTATTGCTTCCTTAATCAGCACAACAGTTTTCAGCTGTGCTAACATAATTGCAAAAGGGTTTTCTAATGATCAATTAGCCTTTTAAAATGATAAACTTGGATTAGCAAACACAACATGCCATTGGAACACAGGACTGATGGTTTCTGATAATGGGCCTCTGTACGCCTATGTAGATATTCCATAAAAAATCTGCCGTTTCCAGCTACAATAGCCATTTACAACATTAATAATGTCTACACTGTATTTCTGATCAATTTGATGTTATTTTTATGTTATTTTAATTTTATTTTTAACAAGTACATTTCTAAGTGAAGCCAAACTTTTGAACGGTAGTGTATATTTCTGTAGTCTACATTTTTATTGAGTTACTACTTATATGGGCTGGCCTTACCTATCAAAACATTATGTGGTTTGATATCCCGGTGCAGAATTTTTGTGTTTCGACTGTGCAGAACGCTTAGACTGCAGAGCACCTCGTGCACTATTTTCTTCAGGACAGGAGTTGTGTCCTTTGGTAGGTGGTCTTTGATGTATTCATCAAGGGTGTATTCACAGAGCTGAAGAACAAGGTAACCAAAGTCCTTGTCTTCTGCAAAGTCCACATATCTCACAATCCAGGGACTATCCAGCTGAGGTAGTCGTAAAAACTCCTCTTCATTCTTTAGATCTCGATAGTTTGACTTGAGCATTCTCTTCACGGCTACCTCAGTACCATCATCCTTCAAGCCCAGAAAGACTTCGGTTCCATCACTTCCTTTGGCTATTCTGAAATCCGGATGGACTACAAGATTGAGATTTCCCAATCTGTAAACATTTCCTGCATCTATGTTGCTGAGTTCCTCCAACTGAGGCCTCCACCGCTCACTAACTCTGTGCCATTTACGGGGTTTTGATTCCTCAGTGGTTGAGGGGAATGGTTTAACACTGGAACTTTCATCATATACACCGGATTCTTCAACTGGAATTGATGAAGCGTCAAGATCTGCCATCTCAGTCATGTCAGTTGTACTTTTTTCTACCGACAACTCTTCCTGAATTGTTTTCTTCTTTTTCTTCTTCTTCTTCTTCTTTTTCTTTGATAGACTCATTCCCTGCAATTGTTCAGTTGCATCCGTTGGTGAGACTGCACTTTGTAGGGACATATTTAATTTCCTCAGTTTTCCTTTCAGGTCTTCATCCATCTGCATTTCGGCAGTAAAAAGTATTTTCTCAGGCACTGAGGTTATCCCTCGTGATGTGATAATCACAGGTACACAATCAAAGGTGTACAGATCTGCAAGCAGACCAAAAGTTAAAACACCTAAGCTTGAGGTCTGAGGATTGGAGAGATTTGCTTGATCAGTGAATGAGATGATCCTCTTGCATAACTCCTCAACAAAAGGGAGGGTCCAGCCATGTTTGTGATTTTGAGTTTTCTGAGTAATCACATACAGTAGTCTGACAACTGAAATGTTGCGATCTAGTCCTTGAGGGGTAAGAATGAGGTATTTCAGAAGAGTTGGTATTACTACCAGTGACAGTCCAAGAGATATTTCTTTCATAATGTTGAAAACAGCTGTCAAGCTATTCACTACCATATCTTGTAAATTTTTGGGAATTTTAGGCAAACGATTGATCGTCTCTTCAATGTAGAGATCAATTTTCTGAGATTCTCTCAGCCACTTTATGGATGCTTGCTGATACTGATCCGCATTTGGTCCAAAAACGTTAAAGGACATGTCATATAGTGTAAGATGATTCACAGGGTTCACCACCAGCATGTGTTTGCCATATTCATTGAAAAGTTCCTCCACTGATTTGAGTCCTACTGCACAAGAAAAATCATAAAAAATCTTCAATTTGACAAAATCCTCACTCTCTGAAGAGAATTTCTGAATCATGCTTGCTATCTTTTGGTCAGTAGCGGGATGTGCTTTGTGATTTCTTTCAGCAAATGCTCCAGACATCATCAAATCTTTCACAATGTCTTCTCTGTCATTGTTTGCCGCCAATTGAAGTGGAGTAAAGCTCTGGAGTGGTGTCCCTTCTGGATCTGCTTTTGCTGCGAGTAATCTATTCACTATACTGACAGGAGCTTTTGACATTGCGGCATAATGCAAAGGAACCCAACCATTTGTTGATTGCACGTTGGGGTTAACACCTTCTTTCAGAAGAAATTTACAAATATTATCATTTGTAAATGCAACAGCAGCAATTAAAGGGGTAACATCATCCTTCAGCTTAGCACAAGGGTACAGTCGATTCAAGTCCTTGCCGCCTCTAATCAATTTCTTTAGTTTCTCCAACTTCCTGTCAATAATGCATTTTATAATGGGATCCGTTTCCCTTGGAACCCAGGGGGCCGTTGGTAATTGGAATTGGAACTGGATTTGACCTGGGACGATATTCATTCTTCAAACATCTACTTCTACAGGTACAGTAGATCTGTGGGATGACACCTCTATTATTACCTCTGTTAAAAGGTTAAGTCAGGTACAGTCATATATATATATTTTAAAAGAAAAAGTCATTTAGCAGACGCTCTTATCCAGAGAGATTTACATGAGCAATTAGGGTTAAGTGCCTTGCTCAAGGGCACATAGACAGATTTTTCACCTAGTCGGCTCGGGGATTAGAACCAGCAACCTTTCGGTTACTGGCACAACGCTCTTAACCACTAAGCTACCTGCCGCCCCATATAAGCCTCGCTTGACCATTTACTTGTTTATAACAATTGCAAAGACATTGGCAACTTTGTATTCTAGTCAACTTTGTTCTGAAGTTATCAGTAGCCATAGAGACAGATAAACATCTTGATTCTATGTTTAGTGGAGAACTTCTGTGTATAAAGTGATGTGGAAGGGTAAAAAAGCATCTAACGACCCAGTTAGTTGTTCTACAAGATATCTGAGAAAGTCGGTAAACAATAAGTGTTTTCAATTGCAACTTCAGTACAATTTTTGGGAAACAGCTCTCAAATGTTATGATGTGCCTATGAAGGTTCTAGCGATGAATTAAGCAAGATGCTTTTGAGAAACCAGGCCCTGGACAATAAATTATGTGAGACAAAACACATTCATTATTTTTTTTACATCATTTGAAGCGCAAATTACATTTTCGTAAGACATCTTTTGCATGTGGAAATGTTATATAATGTTGTATAATCACCTTCCATTGTAAAAACCATGGAAATTCAAAACGAAAAACTATTTTTGGTCCGAAATCAAAAAAGAAAGGAAATTCACATGAGCACCACAATGCCTACTCCACCCATGCTCTACCAAGGGTTTCTGCCACACAGCTTTGACCTACTACAGTAGCAATTTTGGTCTATTGTACTTCAAACAATTTGTATGCAGGTTGCTTAGGATTAAAATATTCTCAAACAGCCTGATTCATACTATTAATGGACTTTACGGTGTCCTGCTATTAAAATAATGTATAAAGTACATTCGGAAAGTATTCAGACCTTTTATCACATCGTTACAGCCTTATTCTAAAATAGATTAAATTAAATTAAATCCTCATCAATTTACACACAACACCCCATAACGACAAAGTGAAAACAGGTTTTTCAATTTGTTTGCACATTCATTAAAAATAAAAAACTGAAATACCTTATTTACAAAAGTATTCAGACCCTTTGCTATGAGACTAGAAATTGAGCTCAGGTGCATCCTGTTTCCATTGATCATTCTTGAGATGTTTCTACAACTTGATTGGAGTCCACCTGTGGTAAATTCAATTGATTGGACATGATTTGGAAAGGCACACACCTGTCTATATAAGGTCCCACAGTTGACAGTGCATGTCAGAGCAAAAACCAAGCCATAAGGTTGAAGGAACTGTCCGTAGAGCTCCGAGACAGGATTGTGTCAAGGCACAGATCTGGGGAAGGGTACCAAAAAATGTCTGCAGTATTGAAGGTCCCCAAGAACACAGTGGCTTCCATCATTCTTAAATGGAAGAAGTTTGGAAGCACCAAGACTCTTCCTAGAGCTGGCCACCAGGCCAAACTGAGCAATCGGGGGAGAAGGGCCTTGGTCAGGGAGGTGACCAAGAACCCAATGGTCACTCTGACAGAGCTCCAGAGTTCCTCTGTGGAGATGGGAGAACCTTCCAGAAGGACAATCATCTCTGCAGCACTCCACCAATCAGGCCTTCATGGTAGAGTGGCCAGATGGAAGTCACTCTTCAGTAAAAGACACATGACATCCCGCTTGGAGTTGGCCAAAAGGCACCTAAAGACTCTCAGACCATGGGAAACAAGATTCTCTGGTCTGATGAAACCAAGATTGAACTCTTTGGCCTGAATGCCAAGTGTCACATCTGGAGGAAACCTGGCACCATCCCTACGGTGAAGCATGGTGGTGGCAGCATCATGCTGTGTGGATGTTGTTCAGCGGCAGGGACTTGGAGACAAGTCAGGATCGAGGGAATAATGAATGGAGCAAAGTACAGAGAGATCCTTGATGAAAACCTGCTCCAGAGCTCTCAGGACCTCAGACTGGACAATGACCCTAAGCACACAGCCAAGACAATGCAGGAGTGGCTTCGGGACAAGTCTCTGAATGTCTTTGAGTGGCCCAGCCAGAGCCCAGACTTGAACCCGATCGAACATCTCTGGAGACCTGAAAATAGCTGTGCAGCGACGCTCCCCATCCAACCTGACAGAGCTTGAGAGGATCTGCAGAGAAAAATGGGAGAAACTCCCCAAATACAGGTGTGCCAAGCTTGTAGCATCATACCCAATAAGACTTGAGGCTGTAATCTCTGCCAAAGGTACTTCAACAAAGTACTGAGTAAAGGGTCTGAATACTTATTTAAAATGTGATATTTCCGTTTTTAATATTTAATAAATGTGCTAAAATTTCTAAAAACATGTTTTTGCTTTGTCATTATGGGGTATTGTGTGTAGACTGGCGAGGAAAAAAACAAATTTAATCCATTTTAGAATAAGGCTGTACCTTAAAAAAATGTGGAAAAAGTAAAGGAGTCTGAATACTTTCGGAATGCACTATATATACACTGCTCTTTCCATGACATAGACTGACCAGGTGAATCCAGGTAAAAGCTATGATCCCTTATTGATGTGGTGGTCCTCTGTAGCTCAGCTGGTAGAGCACATTGCTTGTAATGACAAGGTAGTGGGTTCGATCCCCGGGACCACCCATACACAAAAAAAATTATGCACGCATGACTGTAAATGGCATATTATTATTATATTATTACTTGTTAAATCTACTTCAGTCAGTGTAGATGAAGGGGAGGAGACAGGTTAGAGAAGGAGTTTTAAGCCTTGAAACAATTGAGACATGGATTGTGTATGTGTGCCATTCAGAGGGTGAATGTGAAAGACAAAGATTTAAGTGCCTTTGAACATAGTATGGTAGTAGGTGCCAGGTGCACCGGTTTGTGTCAAGAACTACAACGCTGCTGGGTTTTTCACGCTCAACAGTTTCCCATGTGTATCAAGAATGGTCCGTCTTTTGGGGACAATAAAATAAATTATGCGAGAAATGTCGTTGGAAACGCTTTTAATGCGCAAATATTTATATAATCCAGTAACCGAAAGGTCGCTGGTTCTAATCCCCGAGCCGACTAGGTGAAAAATCTGTCGATGTGCCCTTGAGCAAGGCACTTAACCCTAATTGCTCCTGTAAGTCGCTCTGGATAAGAGCGTCTGCTAAATGACATAAATGTAAAAAATATAATAACCATAATATCGAAGTAACCTTGGAGTCACGTGATGACATGTTGTGTGGTCCTCCCATTACGACTCTGGATAGCATGCAGTTTATTAGGCTACAGATGAACTAAATGATGATGAACTTCACAGGGTGGTGAAAGGGCACGGTGATAAGGTTGATGCTCCTTTCCAATAAATATCAAGGGTCTTATTCTGATGACATGATGATCGATGCTTGGCTGCCGTTTGACAAATAAAAATTATCTCACTCTTTTGTCCATAATAGTCTCATAATGTAGGCTATACCCGCACTGTATCTGCAAGCTGTTGGCTAGTGCGCACATGAAACCAGAGTGGGCACACTCGCTATGTAACGCACATTTTTGTGTGCGAAAACCGTCAGTAGAGTTGAAAAATAATTTTAAAAAGCTGCCAAAGGTAGTGGAATGGGATTAGTGAGGTGTGTGAAGAATCCAATCCTTTAACTTGTATGCGGTACAAATCACATTATTATTGGAGCACCTCCTCTAAGAGTATGGATTAGGATGTTTGAGAAGGTTTGAATCCTAAGCAACCTGCATGCACATTGTTTGAAGTAGAATAGTAGAATAGACCAACATAGCTACTGTAGTAGGTCAAAGCTGTGTGCTGTAAAACCTTGGTAGAGCATGGGTGGAGTAGGAACTGTGGTGCTCATGTGAATTTCCTTTCTTTTTCAGCTTCAGACCAATGCCTACTTCTCATTTAGAACGTAGTTTAAAAAATATATATATATATAATTATAACTAGGCTATTAGAATGGACATTCAAGTCAATGTTCTGTGGTGGGTGGTCTGGCGGCTATATTGAGTGTACCCATTGGAGGTAAAAGCTGAAAATTCTGGATTTAGTAAATTGTCAACTACAGACTGTATACAGTTTGTCTAATAATATGGCAGTGGGAAACATTTGATTTAATTCCTTACTTAATGTATTGTTGATCAGGTGTGAAGTAGCAACAGGAATGGAAATCAATTATGGCTGGAAAGAAATTAGCAGAAATTAAAATGAATGCTTGATTTTTTTTTTGTAAGATAATCATAGGTGTGTAATATGTGTTAGAACTAATTTGAAAGCACTACCTTCCAATGTCTACGTGGCGTGGTTTGGCACTCCTTGTCAGTTCTGCTGGAGCAGGCCACACCTTGTCAGTTCTGCTGAAGCAGGCCACTCCTTGTCAGTTCTGCTGGAGCAGGCCACACCTTGTCAGTTCTGCTGGAGCAGGCCACTCCTTGTCAGTTCTGCTGGAGCAGGCCACTCCTTATGACCTTTGCTCTATGAAAAATAAACACCTTGGCTACTTTAAAGATAATAACAGAAAAGCACATTCAATGTGGGTACATTTACTCTGAATAATATGTAGGCCTACATCTGCTATAATTAAATTAATTGTGGACGTCAGTATAAGTAATTTGAGATTATTGTTTTTAGCCATTCGATATTCAGTAGGTGAAATTACGAAACCCTACCCTTAAATACATGTAAGACACTTTTCTGCATAATATCAGCAGAGGCATTTGACATATAGCAACATATTATATACAATATCTTAGAAGAATAATAGATAACAGATGTGCTCTATGTTGCAATATCATGTGGTTATGATGAAAGCAGCACTTCCTAAATGCTCTCTATCTTTTATGGAAGTTACGCTCTCTATATTACAACTTTGATCAGCAATGT